CCTCAGGCTTACTATCTGAATGCCTTGTTTTACCTTTAGCGCACTTAATTTAATTTCGATCAACTTTCAGTCAATTCATTTCAATATTTAAAGCTGTTAACAAACAGAGGCAGACTGCATGATTTAAACTAAGAAATTCTTGAACTGAAGTGAAACTACTCATTTTAAGTTTTCTTCAATACAAACATAATTTAAAATTTTGCAATTATTGTTCAGATTTTAATTCGCTAGGTGTAAGAGTATTCCAAAATTTATAACTTGACATATTTTTCACACTTTCTGTTAACTTCACAATACCAAGAAATAAAAAAAATCATGGACATATTTCTGAACCCCTTAGATGTTTTTCTTTTTCTTAAATCCAAGGTGTATTAGTAGACCTACTAAACCTACAACTCTTAAAATAGAAACCCTGAAGAAAGTTTGCAGCAATCCCAGCCCCCCATAGTTGCTAGCAGCTTTGATGGAATTTAAATAACCGATTTTTCACGGCATCAAAACGAGACTTCTCTAAGAAATAATATGAAATAAAATCATTACAGAAATCTAATTAATTATTCAATATTATAACTGTATTTTTTTCTGTTTAAGATTTATAATCTTACAGAGGTAATCTAACATTTAACATAGTTTAGCACCAAAGGGTTGCACAGAACGACAAATATATTGCTTCTGCGACTCCTTCCTTCGAAAACTTAAGTGCACTTTTCCAAGTCATTTAAAGATTGTGACGCTAATCAGTTTTTTTAGTCACCCTGTAGTTAAGCACAAGGGTTACAAACGTGCATAACATGTTGTGGGTTAGTATCTCAATACAGAAATAAAGGGGGGGGGGGGTGGAAGGGGTCCTAGGGTCAGTAGGGATTAAAAAGGTATTTGAAAAATCCTTTAATGCAGATGCAAATCAAAGAAAATGGGGCCCCATCTATGATCTTTATACTATTTTAAAACTAACCTCAGGTTCTAAATTCTGAAAGTCTGATTTTGTTTGCAGAAAGGATTTTGTGACAGGAACAATATCCAAATACATTTTTTAAGAAATGATACCTGTTCCATATAAGGTAAATTTCCCATATTAGGAAATCCAGACAATCCATCCAAGCCTGGTATCCGGGGAACATGCAACGACTTAACAATGAGTAAACAATTTTAGAAAGGTCTCCAAATAAAAAAAATGAAGTACCTGCATAATAGCTTGCTCAGCAGTAAGTTTGTACGCTTGGAAAGAGCTTAAGTGCATACTACCAGACTAAAGCAAATAAATGAAATATTTATTTGTAGGATAAAAAGTAACCCTGATAAATTATCCAGCAAAGAAACAATGACAATTCAGGAGCATTATCTTAAGAAAGATAAGAAAACACCCTGCAAGTCATTTCACCTTTTTTAAGTTGACATTATAAATAATTTTTTAAAGAAAGATGGTAAGTTCAGAAGAAAATACCATGGTTTCAAAGGAATGATCAAAGGTGTTCATAACGATTAGAAAAGAAAGATCAGATTTATTTAACATTTTTAGAAGGTAAGGATGAAATTTACATGGTGAGAAGATAAAAATGGTTGTAAGAGAAAAAGGAGACATATTTATCATCGTTTGAAGGAAAGGAAAAGATCTGCAATCGTTAGATGAAAAATGTTTATAAAGAAGGAAAAGTATGTATTTTGGCTACCAGTGAAGGAGTGAAGGAGAAGTATTTCATGTGCTTAACAGAGTAGAATAAGTGGTATTTACTGTGGTTAGATGAGTGGGATGAGAAGGATTAGAGTATACAGGAATGTTCTGCTGAGCTGGTAAAGGAGCATGAACTGTTGCAGTGTTCAGAAGATCTTCACCAATGCTTCCACTGCTCCTCCTACTGGAAAACCTTTTTTAAATTCGACATTTTTTAATTTGATTTGCATCAATAAAAATCGTAGAAATGGGCCATTATTACTATTGCTGGCTAATTTTTGACGTTTTTTCAAGCATTCAAGGGTTAGTTAAAACTAAAATAGTTTAGGTAGCCATTTGTCAAATAGCTAAGAACTTTTCGTTCCTTTCATAAACGGTACATTAGATTTGCATTTCTTTTAAAGTTACTGTTCGTTAACAATCTCAATATTAAGAGCATCAATGAGAGATATTTCAGAATTGTTCAAGCACTTGTTCTCTGCAGGTTTCATGTGATTTAAGATGAAATAAGAACAGTTGCTGCTTGTTCTTCTTTATACATAATTCTTACCTTTTCCTGTAACCATTGCTGTTCTTACTATTCTTTCTGTTGCTAGAAGGGTTCTTCCTGCCATTCCCTCGTACTATCTCTTGTCTAATTATTTGCACACATAATGTTATTCACAAATCTTACTGAACAATATTAGATAATTCCACACATTCATAACTTTATCTTTTTACTATTGTACCAGCAAAAAGTTATCAAGTAGCAAAGTAGGAGAAACCTTTCAAAAAAAAATTTTAAAATGAAGTTGGTCAGTATTTAATATTTTAAAAAACAGTTCATAAGTCACGTGACACAATTAGGTTTTAGTTTTCATTAAAGATTTTTTTGGGAAATAGGAAACATAGGGTTAGCTGATTTTGAGAAAAAGGGGTTTGAAATATCAGTCAAAAAGGATATTAGTTTTGTCGGGATGGAAACCTATGAAAAGGTAACAGTGTATCTATTAGGTTTACAGCAAAATTGACAAAATATTATTTTAATTTAAAGGGAGTTTGTGATTTATAACTATTCCAAACAATTTCACTATCTGTCTTAAAAATTTAATTTCTAGTCCCAAAACAAATAACTCTTTATTTCTCTATTCCCTTATTATATAATGAAGACTCGAATCATTTTCTGTCCTTAAAGTTAATCTTTGTAGGAATAAGAAGTTGGTTCATTCTCGGGGGAAACCTTATTCATCAATATCAAATGCATCTTCAGAGCTTAAAACATGGGGAATGGGGATAGAAGCTAGATAATTGACGAGTCTTTTAAAACGCTAATAAATGAGTGAACTCGGAGGATATTTTTTATGTAAGAGTTACTTTGCATGAACAAATATGGTAGTTTCTTTCATTCTGTAGGTGGTTTGGGGTTGGTGACAAATGTTATTTCAAGCTAAAACCATCTTTTCATCATAATATTTTCCACATCACTGAAAATATGATCCGGAGAGTTGAACAAATACCTTTAAAATAAAAAAAATAACTTGGGTCTTCGTTCCTCAATTTTGCTGTAAACCTAATAGATAAACTATTTTTCATCTTTTTGAAGGTTTCCGTCCCGTCAAAACTAGGATCCTTTTTGGCTGATATTAGGAACCCCTTTTTCTCAAAAACGGCTTTCCATCAGATTTGTTTAAAACCTCTCAAGGTAATTTTCAATGAAACCTAAAACCTTAATTTGTCATGTTCGAGGAGAAGGTCAATTTATCAAATTTTCAAAATATGCTGATTAAAAGATGCGCTTTGAACTGCTAACTAACACTTGAAAATATTTAAAAAATGGTTTAATTAAAGGCTAGTTTAACACTGACATCAAATATTTTTCAAAAAAAAGCTTTTTGCTCATGGTGCAAGGTGGATTTGGGCTTTTTTTCAATGAGTGATCATGGCAATTGTTTCACTCTTATTTTAATGGTGAACTCCAATCAAATTATTACCAATATAAATTCTACTAAAAGTACCAGAATTAGTAAATGAAAGCTTTTCTGAAATTCCACCAATTCGAGTAGGTAAAAACACTTTCATAGTTTCAAGGGTATTTAGGCTTTCAGGAAAAAAAATCTCACTCGTCCACCTTCAGTGCATGCACGCATAGATAGCTTTATTTATTCCAGATATCTTACTTGGAAACACTGTTGTTTGAGGTCAAGCTACGATCATCATCAGAGCTGCTCGCACTCACGTTGATAATGTTCTGGGAGGGACTGATAGGGACAGATTTAACCCGTTCTACAGAACATACCATGGTGATACTAGGGCCGGTCAAACTCTTACTTGGGCTACAGGGACTTGCATAATCACAGCTCATAGTCTAAACAATTTGAACAAATGAGTTAATTATAAATGAACATTAATAAGGTTCAGATTTTAACAAATTTTTTTAATTAACAGATTTGGTAAAGTATTTAAACAATGTGCATAACAATTGCAAAACTTAGCAAGAAAAGAGTTCAACTAGAGAGCAAGAAAAGTTGCACAAATTCTCAGGGACAATCAAGCATACATGCAATTTGTATGAAATAAAATTGCATGAAAAGACGCAATTATACAAAAAATTTTGCATGATCAAAGTTGCGCAAAAAACTTCAGTATGCTTTTCCTAAAATGATAATAAAAAATAAAAAATCTTTCCAAAATATGAGGTACCTGCTGATTTGGATTAATAGCTGGGTTTGCTGTGAGGTTTGTTAGTTCTAACTCTGCCTGAAATTTAAGATAGTCATACTTCAAAATATGCTGAAACGAACTTAAACGCGTAATGCAAAGTGACCCTCCATCAAAAGATTTGTTCCCTATTCACAGCGACCCTAAAAGCTTTGTCTGATAAAGCATGATTTAGATAAAATTTACTTGCGTCGCGCATTTCTCCTGCAGGAACAAATCTTGTGATTATCAGAAAAACACTTTCAATCGAGAAAAAAAAGGCAATATCTTCATATGAAGGAGTACTGAAGTAAATCAGGCATTTTCATTTTTGCATGGAGGGTCATGGAGGGTCTACAGACCCATTATGTAGTCCTTCTACCTTGGCTACCTTTCTAAAAAATGGTAAATATTAAAAGTTTATCCTTGCCATAAATCTTTTGCTCAAAAGCCTGTTCTAACCACAGTGGTAGATCCAGAAACTATATTAACTTTACTAATCCTCAAATGATATATGTTCCGCAAGGTTCAATATAAATTTGAAGGGAGGGTCGTTCTGGAATCTGGATTGATCCGATATATTAATTTAACATGAAAAAGATTTCACCTGAAGATCTTGTCTGACATGTTGGTATTGTGATCTCAATGTGGGCATTCTCTCTCTCTAACACAAAATGTTAAGTTTATGCAGATAGCAACAAAATTGCAGAAAAATAATTCGGAAAAACACTAATTTTAAACGAGTTTATTTATTTATTACGTTGTAAACTGTAGTAAACTGTAAAATATAATTGAGTATGAGGGCATTTTCCAAAAGGAGGTTGAAAATTTATATAGCAAACCAAATTCAGAGGTTTAAATAATATTGAAAATGTACTATAAAACACTACCTAATTACTGAAGTATAACATAAAAATCTCCTAATGATATTTTCCATTACCAAAATAAATCACTTGGATAGAATAATTGGACAGAAATGAGAATAGCAAGGTAACCGACTAGCAGATAAAGTTTAAATACCAAAATAAAAAGTTAATTTTTCTTTGGAAAATATTCCTGAGGCAGTCAGATGTTGTCCAACTCCCATTCTCAGGAAAATAAAATAATCTGAAAAATTAATCAAAATTTGGAAAACGAAGTAAAAAAAATAGTTGAAAAAATGGTCCGCAAAAAAATTCATGAGGTACATCTAAAATCTTTAGGGTTGGCGCTGAGACTTTTAAAACCAGTAAAATGTTAAAATTTCTGGTAAGTTAGGCAACCGTGTAAAAGCTCTAGTCACCAAATTCAACTGGTTTGAGTAAATATGATATAATCCAAATCTCAAGTAAAAATCCTTAAGATGGTTCAACAAAATAGAACATTATACATAGAAAAAAAGTTGCTGTGAAACCGAATGAGATCAAATTGCTTAGAAGCAAAGATGAACGGTGTCAACAATGAAACTGTACAATATTAAACAAAATTACATTATGTACAAACAATTAAAGGAAATTAAAAAATTAAAACGTATAAACACGATGAAAAATATGTATAAGACAGGGCTGGTAGTAAGGACTTAAAAACACATAAAGAATATGCCCTTAGATTAACCTTGACGAATCATAATAAAAATAAAATCATAGTTAAATAGTTTATCAACAAATCCTGTTTAATTACGATAGATAATCCTCATCTTCTCATCTGGTATCTAGAAAAAAGGGATGAAGTTCAAATATATCAGCATTTTTTAGTATTTTTATTATATCACAAAAAAACATTACCTTAAAAAAGGTTCTAGCTGATGGTTAATAGAAGTCCTGCAACAGTAAAAGCAGCAAGAGAGAAAAAAACTGAAAAACAAGAAATAAGCCGACAGCAAGAATACAATACAAGCTATAAGCAGAGAATACGAGAACACAAGCTGACAGCAGGGAATACAAGAATATAAGCTATCAGCGGAGAATACAAGAATACAAGCTATCAACAGAGAATACTAGAACACAAGCTGACCACAAGGAATACAAGAATATAAGCTATCAGCGGAAAATACAAGAATACAAGCCATCAGCAGAGAATACGAGAACACAAGCTGACAGCAGGGAATACAAGAATACAAGCTATCAACAGAGAATACTAGAACACAAGCTGACCGCAAGGAATAAAAGAATACAAGCTATCAGCAGAGAATACGAGAACACAAGCTGACAGCAGGGAATACAAGAATACAAGCTATCAACAGAGAAAACTAGAACACAAGCTAACTGCAGGGAATACAAAAATATAAGCTGTCAGCGGAGAATACGAGAACACAAGCTGACCGCATGGAATACAAGAATATAAGCTATCAGCGGAGAATAAGAGAACAGAAGCTGATATTAGGGAATACCAAAGCACAAACTGGCAGCAGGGAATACAAGAATACAAGCTATAAGTATAGAATACGAGAATACAAGCTGACCGCAGGAAGTACAAGAATATAAGCAAGCATAGAATACGAGAACACAAGCTGACAGAGGGAATACAAGAATACAAGCTATTGACAGAGAATCAGAAAACAAATGCTGACAGTAGGGAATACAGGAATAAAAGCTATTAGCAAAGAATACGAAAACAACAGCTGACAGTGGGGTATACAAGAATACAAGCTATTAGCATTAATTACGAGAATACAAGCTGGCCGCAGGGAGTACAAGAAAATAAGCTGTACGAGAACACAGCAGGGAATACAAGAATATAAGCTATTAGCATAGAATACATGAACACAAGCTGACAGCAGGGAATACAACAATACAAGCTATTAGCATAGAATACATGAACACAAGCTGGCAGTAGGGAATACAAGAATACAAGCTATTAGCGGAGAATAAGAGAACAGAAGCTGATATTAGGGAATACCAAAGCACAAACTGACAGCAGGAAATACAAGAATACAAGCTATAAGTATAGAATACGAGAATACAAGCTGACCGCAGGAAGTACAAGAATATAAGCAGTCGGCAGAAAATAATCGAATACAAGCTGTCAGCATGGAATAAAAGAATATACAAGCTATCACCAAAAACACAAGCAGCAGGGAATACAAGAATACAAGCTATTAGCATAGAATACGAGAACACAAGCTGACAGAGGGAATACAAGAATACAAGCTATTGACAGAGAATCAGAAAACAAATGCTGACAGTAGGGAAAACAGGAATAAAAGCTATTAGCAAAGAATTCGAAAACAAAAGCTGACAGTAGGGAATACAAGAATACAAGCTATTAGCATTAATTAAGAGAATACAAGCTGTCAGCAGGGAGTACAAGAAAATAAGCTGTACGAGTACACAACAGGGAATAAAAGAATATAAGCTATTGGCATAGAATACATGAACACAAGCTGACAGTAGGGAATACAACAATACAAGCTATTGGCAGAGAAAACGAAAAAAGCTGACAATAGGGAATTCAAGAATATAAGCTATTAACAGGAAATACAAGAATGCAAGCTATTAGCATAGAAGACCAGAACAAAAGCTGACAGCAGGGAATACAAGAATAAAAGTTATTAGCAGGGAAAACGAAAACAAAAGCGGGCAGTAGGGAATACAAGAATACAAGTTATTGGCAGAGAATACGAAAACAAAGCTGACAGGTAAGAGAATACAATACATGCTGTCGGCAGAGTATACAGAACAAAAGCTGTTCAAGGTATAAATAGAATTCAAAGAGGGGTTGGTATGTGGAAAACAATTTCAAGAAATTATGCACTTTAGAAGCTGTTAGAACTTAACTGCCCGATCGTTGATTTCTGCTGCTTGTGAGAGATTTTACAAGAACTGATACATAATTAAAGGGAATAAATGCGTTTTTTCAAGTAACCCCAATAGTTACCCTCCATACAAAGATGAAAATGCCCGATTCACATTAGTACCTTTCATATCTTTAACTGATCCATTAATTTGCCATCCATATTTATGATTTATAAAACTGGTTTATTTTAATCAGTGGTTTTGTACATAAGTGGCTTGAGTATTTCTACTGCAGGATAAAAAAGGAATTGTCAGAATCTAACACTGTTAAAACATAAAAAAGCGAAAATATCATATGAAGTTAGTTATCAGATACAGGTTTCAGGTTGCAGCTAGTTGTAAGTCAGGAATTGCCATCCATGGAGGTTGGTTCCCTTCAAATTACGCTAATAATCCCTTCAAGATTAGGTCCAACTGACAGATCAAGAAACGATAATGACACTCATTCAAAATGAGTATATACTATACAACTAAGAAAAAATCTGCCCGACTTAATTTCATCTCTCACCAAATAGTGATAAAAATTAACAGCTTCCCTTTAAGCTTCCTTCATATCTAGTTAGCTTCCTCATCTCGCCTTTCCAGAAGGGGGCACAGACCACCTAAATATTTGTGCTTTGTTTAATAAGTTTCCTTTTTGGTGACAGCGTTCACTATTTCCTGCCCAAAACCTTTACATTTGTAATTGAAGACTCGATTAAAGGCGAACTAAAAATTATTTTTAAAAAAGTTATCAAAAATCTGCAAATATTTAAGAATTCGAATGTCGTATAGAGTTTAAATTTTTAGACGATGCAATCAAATCCCAATTTGTTTTTAAGTTAGCTCTTTCCTCCTTAATTGTTCAAACAATTTAGTAAAGTTACCAAAAAATCGTAGAATTTAAGTTTTCTAAAAAACTTCTTTAAAAACTTCAAATACGGGTAAATGGGATAAAGTTTTTACAAGACGGAACCAGATCCGGGTTTGTTTTATGCAGAACGGAACCAGATCCGGATCCTTATTATACAGGGCGGAACCAGATCCAGATTAATTTTGACAGGACGGGAGCATTTCAGGACTAATTTGATGAAGGACGTAACCATATCAGAAGCCATTTTATGCATAACTAAAGCAGATCAGGGTCAAATTTATCCAGGACGGAACCGGATCTGGATCCACGTCAAAATAAATAGATCCTAAGCACTGCATCTAGGAAATATAAAGTGAACTTACCCGTAGCATCAGTATTCTCCTCCCTGTACATGAACGGAACAAAGCTGGGAGTATCTTTATCAAACAGAGGTTTGAAGTTGGACTTCTCTCCTTCAAGCTCACTGTAGCTAGAACAAAGTCTACAATTACTTAGATAGTTAAGAATTTAGAATTAACTCCATAAATCTCAATATCAATATTAAATAAGAAACATGACGAAAACTACTCAAATGTACCTTGGCTGATCTACTCCATAAACAAACTGCGGCGTTGAAGTCTCCCTGTCTAGCCCTCCCCTGAGAACACTGCTACGAGGGGTGAAGTATTCACGATCACTCAGAGGGGTCAGAACATCAGAGCGAGGGGTGGAGGAGTCTCTGTCGAATACTGATCGAGGAGTGGGCATATCCTTGTCAAAGAAACTACGCGGGGTTGAGAGGCTATTATCGAACACACTGCGCTGGTCTTTGTCAAAGAACGGCTTGAGACCAGGTTTTCTCTCCCTGTAAACAATTCAAAGTAAGTTGTTGAAAAAAGAACATATTTTTTACGAGAATCTATTTACTATTTTAGCGCATTTTTACTTAACAAGATTGTTTCTTCTAAACTTTGCGCAGTGGAATCATGGAATGCAATTTTATGTAGTTCCTGAAAACTTGCACCTGTAATAATTGACAACACGGTAATTTAATTAATTACGTGGCTTATGGTCGGAATAGCTTATCATAAGACGCTAAAACTGTAATAATTATTACTTTGAAATAGTAACATGCTCAGCAAAGGACGCGGCAATCTTCGAGTACTCATCACTGTAGTCTACACTCTGCCCAGGCCAACTAACCCCTAAACAATTACACTTTAGATGTAAACAACTAATTTAACCTATTATAAAAATTTAAGAAGTCTTTATTTACAGTAATTACTTTCTGGCATAGAATTTCGAAAAATGTTGAAATAAAGATCATCAATTTAAAACCAAAATAATTTTTTTTTTTAAAAACAAATCACATCAGGATCAAATGTCAGGAACTGCCATCAGCTTCTAAAGATCACTTTGTAGCCTGAACTTTCTCCATTAAACTTAATTACCCAAAAATCCCTCAATTGTAATGTAAAACCTGTATTGGTATCTGTTTTCCTCCAGGTTATTTCTGGTTCCGGTCTCCACTCTGGGTCTGATCTTAGTAGCGCAGCTGGGGCTCGCCAGTTCTCCAGGTCAGATCTCTTCTCCTGAATAGGTGTTTGATTTTTTATTAGCCTGATCTACTACATCCGTAGCGCTTTAAGCTCCCTGGGGCCAAACAAAATTAATTTGAACTGCCTACCGCCGGTTGAAATTTGAATCACCGATTAATTGGTTCTTTAAACAGTCAGCGACGCAGATCAAACTCAATAAATTTTATCCCTAGATCCAGGTATACATAATAATTTCTTTCACCACGAACATTATTATTGTCATCGAATTAAGATAAAAATAAACTTGAAGTTATTTTGCAACATTTACAATTTTTTACCTTCTAATTCAAACATATACTAAAATTTGTTGGTTTTAGTATGAAGGCGTACAATTTGCTGAAAAATCTATTAACGCGAAAAAACAAGACTTTAAAGGTAAAATCCATTATATGCAGATTTCTCTTCAATTGACTGATCAAGCATTTAATTATTTATATTTTTAAGTGCCCTCATTGGACGCAGAAATTAAGCGTTCAAGATTTTTAAAAAAGGATGGAATAAAATAAAGTTCTGAATATTTATATAAAAAATTAACGATATGTAAGGGACACTGAACCTGGTTCTGATAAGTCCAGAAGTTGGAGGTTCTTGGTTCTCGTTGCCCCTGATAGTAGCTGGAGTAACTGGAGTAACACTCTGAAATATTTCGACACCTTAAGTTCTTTCTAAATACAGATTTTGAAGCAGGTGTAATTTTTGGATGAAGATACTTTTAGTGGCAGAGATATGGAGGATACCATGTGTAGCAGATTTTAATGACTGAAGTTCTGTACTTATGGCAGAAAATATTGACAAAGATACATTTGTGACAAATTTTGTCGCTTTCTGTGCAATAATTTGTGCTCAGGATTCTAAAATATTCTTAGTTCATTAAAAATCCTTCATAATTAAATTCAGGGGTCCATCAAGAGTTTAAGTTGAAGGCGAAGACCACAGTTGTTACTTATAGGCAAATTTTGCTGCTAAAGATATTTTTTTGAGGGCAGATGAAATGGACTAAAAAATTATTTATAGCTGATTTTATGAAAATATTTTTGTAGCAGATATTAATTGATGAATTTTGTGTGTAATTTGGATAATTCTAGATGCACCCCGATGCCCGACCCAGCACGTGGTTTTCAAATTTATTAGGTTTCCAAGATTCTTTCAAAAATTACCATTTGATCCTGGGAGTATATCCTGCAGTCTTGCTCTGGTGAGTCCTCTGAATAAATATTTAAATTATTTTCAAATGAAAAAAAAGCCAAGGGCTGACAACGAAGACCAAAAATGTATCTAAAATCTTCATAAATTAACAGCAAGATGTTTAGCTCCTTTTAACTCAAATAACGGTTACCGATTCTTTAAAAAATGAAGGGAAAGTTCTGATGATTTGTTGCTACAAAAGTCTTGAATGTTAAATAAAAGGTTAGAATAAAATAAATAAACGGCTAGAACGAACGAAAAAAAGCTAGAATAAAAGAAAAAATGTTTTAGAACAAAAGAATAGAAATATGATAATAATCGAAGTACAGAATAAACGAAAAAACGGCTGAAATAAACGAAAAATGTATTTTAAAAACAAACTAATAAAATTAGTAAAATACACGAATAAGGTAAGATGAACAAAAAACGGTCAAAATAAACAAAACAATGATCAGAGTAAACAGGAAAAGGTCAGAACACAAAAACGGTTAGAATTAATGAAAAAACCTGATATTACGCATCAGAGGTTTGTGCTGAGTATGATGAGCGTGCTGGTTGTCCCAGCAGGTTCTGCAGTAGTAGTTGAAGCAGTTCAAGTCCCTGCAGAAGTATGGACCCTGCTTCATGTGGCAGACAGAACACAGAGCATCCTAGATATCCTTGATATTAGTGAACAATTCTAGACAGAACACAGAGCATCCTGGATATTCTTGATATTAGTAATCATTACTAGACAGAACACAGAGCATCCTAGATATCCTTGATATTAGTGATCAATTCTAGACAGAACACAGAGCATCCTAGATATCCTTGATATTAGTAATCATTACTAGACAGATCACAGAGCATCCTAGATATCCTTCATATTAGTAATCATTACTAGACAGAACACAGAGCATCCTAGATATCCTTGATATTAGTGATCAATTCTAGACAGAACACAGAGCATCCTAGATATTCTTGATATTATTGATCAATACTAGACAGAACACAGAGCATCCTAGATATCCTTGATATTAGTGATCAATTCTAGACAGAACAGAGAATCCTAGATATCCTTGATATTAGTGATCAATTCTAGACAGAACAGAGCATCCTAGATATCCTTGATATTAGTGATCAATTCTAGACAGAACACAGGGCATCCTAGATATCTTTGATATTTGTGATCAATTCTAGACAGAACACAGAGCATCCTAGATATCCTTGATAATAGTAATCATTACTAGACAGAACACACGAGCACACTAGATATCCTTCATAATAGTAATAAATACTTGACAGAACACAGAGCATCCTAGATATCCTTCATAATAGTAATCATTACTGGACAGAACACAGAACATCCTAGATATCCTTCATAATAGTAATTAATACTAGACTTTATATTAGTAATCAGTACTAGACAGAGTAGAGAGCATCCTAGAGGGATATTAGGTGGCAATACTAGACAAAGCAGTGAACTGAAACTAATATTGAAATTAATAGAGAAGATTATTTTTTGAGAACTTTTTACACATTTTAAAAAATGACAATTCACAAAATGATTCCACTTTAAGTAACGGTAGTTTCTTGCAAAAAGCATTACCTCTAGATATGGGTCAACTTGGACCTTTTTGCAGAACCTAGGCGTCTTAATCTCGATGAAAGCAGCAGCAACAGCCTAGTAAAGATGAAGTATATTTTTTGTTCAGAGAACGACAAATAAACAAGGTAAATTTCAATTTTGTTTTCGTAAATTACACAACAATTTTAAGTTTAAGATGTACGCAACAAGAACATAAGAAGAAAACTAAAATTAATTCCTAATCTAACCTTCATATACGACTTGGCGTTGTTGAAGGTAACCCTTCCCGATCCTATGGGGTACTTGTGCTTATCCGTATCTAATCCAGCGTATACTACACCACCAAACAGATCATTGAAGATCACAGCCAGGCTCTAGAAAAAATGTCAATGTTTATAACGGTGTCGCGTCGCTATGGTGAAATTTAGTATCTATCAAAAAGTCTGGAAAAAAGTTAAATCGCATCCAATATAAATAAAAAACAAAAAATCGCACCTAATAGAAACAAAAAAATAAATGAAAATCAAAATAAACTGAAAGATATTGTACAATGCAACTTAACTATTTCAAGTAACAACACGAGGATTGGAAATCAGTCCAGCCGCCCTGTATTGATATTAAAAACATCTTTCTCACCGTTCAAATCAAATCAAATCAAATCAAATCAAATCAAATCAAATCAAATCAAATCAAATCAAATCAAATCAATAGTTTTAGGGCAAGCTTTAGACTCCATTCTTCAGCCTGGAGTTTCAAGTCCTGATTGTGAAATGGTTTTCAACCCAGATCAGATTTTACTTAAATATTTGCATTAAATCGTGAAAATTATCGATTTTTAATGTTAAGCGTTATGATCCCATCAACATGACCAAGTTTGAGCCATGCAACCATACTTAGATCCCTTTCCTTTAATTAGGGACCAACTTTGTGTTTAATATGAAGGAAAGGTTTGCTGTGTTCCTGCTATGCATTCCTAGGAATTTATATAGCAAAGGAAAATACCAAGAATTAATGAAGGTTAAGAAAGGTATTCAAGAAATTAATTAGCTTTAGATATACGCTAGAGTAATGATCGTGTTGTGGGTAAAGATTGGTTACTCAGATAATGGTTAAAAAAATTACGTTTTTAATAAGGCATGCAAATCTGTATATTGGGGTTGCTTAAAATTACTGCCAGAGTGTAAATAGTGTAAAATAATAAGTAAAAATAGCACTGTTTAAAAAAGTATGCGTCCTGAAGATTTTGTCTGAAGCAAATCAATTTAGAGAACTTATGCCGACACGAAATAAAATGAAATTATATCCAGGTCTACTAGATAGTTGGACATTCTCAATACCTGGGCGTTGATCATCCCGTGCAGGGCTCCAACGAACACCGTCTTCTTAGGGTCGAGGCGAGGGGAGGGAAACCTCACATAGTTGGAGTCAGCAACATTCCAGGGGATAATCTGGACAGAAAGAAATCCCATGTTAATGAACTTACTAGAATTTCAAGATTATTTCCAGAACCCAAAAATTCAGACGTCAGAAATAAAATCTGAAAATTTAAATCTGACCATTCAGATCTGGGAGAAGTCTGGTTGGCTCAACCGTTGAAGATTAAGATCTTCTTAATATGACATCAAAGCATCAAACATCAAGATAGTTTATGAAACTGGAAAGAATTCTCAACTTAAACAGAGTTGATCCATTTCTTAAAAAAGATCATTTCGCTGAACATGTTAATTTTTAACAGAAAACATAATAACCGTCTAAACCATAAAAACTTGTTTTTATCTAGTTTTTAAAGATCATTTCGCTTAACATGTTAATTTTTAACAGAAAACATAATAACCGTCTAAACCATAAAAACTTGTTTTTATCTAGTTTTTAAAGATCATTTCGCTGAACATGTTAATTTTTAACAGAAAACATAATAACCGTCTAAACCATAAAAACTTGTTTTTATCTAATTCTTAAAGGGACTGTAAGTGTAATTTTAAGTAACCCTTTAAATGCAAAGATGGCAATGCCCAATTTACAACGGCACCCTTGAAAGCTTTGTCTGAAGTATGAATAAAATATCAAAGTTTTCGTTTCTTTATAAACTGATAATTTCATTTCCGGGATCTCTACGAAAGTGACTAGCGCATTTCTTGTTTTTCAGAAGCAATGGAGAAACTCGCAATTCAAGAAAAACGAAAATCTTCTAAATTAGTATTAGGTAAAAGTTTCAAAAGTACCTTTGTAAATCGGACATTGCCACCTTTGCATGGAAGGTTACTTGAACTTATGCTTACATTCCCTTTAATGGATTTGTTAAAAGAAATGTCACCTGGATTTCTTTGGATCCTCGTTTCTTGGAAGATATCTTGAAGTAGAAGCTTCCACCGTTGGCAAAATCATGAGTGCAGTGAGCTGTAAATAAAGTTTTATATATCTTTGGATGTTGCTCAATAGAATTTTCAAGCAAGATGAAAAAAAACAAAAAAAAAACCAAGCGAGATCTTAATGGATTAAATATTTGTTCAGGGGGGAGGCAGGATTTTTGATAAACTTGGAAAAGCTTTTTCCCCGTCTTTCACATAAAAATTTGTTATTTTCATTTTCGCAAATTATAAAATGAGATTGATAAAAAGGAAATCAAACCAGAAAATTAAATAGTTTTATAAATTCAACTTCTTTAATGATGACCTCCCATGAACTTACCTAAGAGTTCCTGGACCCTGTCCTCGTCCTCGAATACAATATAGAGATAACCTCGGGGAGGAGAGGCTGCATCTCGTCCCGGCCACTCAACTCTGACAGGACCAAACTCAATGAAAGCCTAAAAATATCTTAAATTCTACCTTTTCTCAAAAATTAATTTGTTTCCACTTAAAAATCTTCCCCCCTCCCCCCATTCAGCGTAAACCATGGAGTAAGGAATAGAAGGGAGATATAACTGACGCGGTTGGCCCTACCATATGATAATACATGCTTTGCAGACGGGTACTTCATTAGAAATATTTGTCCGATGTACATTTACTGCGTATACAATAACCTATTCTGATATTTCATATAAAAATAGAGTACCCGTCTGCAAAGCATGTATAATCATATGGTAGGGCAAACCGCGTCAGTTGTCCCTTCTATTCCTTACTCCCTGGCAAAAACCAAAAGAAAAACATACCTGCCTCTGGGGAAAACCCAGATATGGGGATAATTTCAAGGGGAATAAGCAGAATTGATATTTTTGGTAAAAAGGATCCAAAAATGAAGAAAAAATTTTAAGGTTAAGTCTACTTCTTTATTTCGCCAAAAGGAGAGGCAATTCTTAAAATGTTTACATTAAGAAGGCAAATGTTCACAACTGAATCTATAGTCCTATGTAATCTATAATATATACTGGACTATCAGGGGCCGCTTTGCGCCCATCTTCTATTTCAACATGTTGCTCAAGTTTTAGCCATTTTGAGCATCACTAAACCTTCCCTGGGGCCATGCGAGGTCCACACAAAATTTGGTTACGATGGCTTCAATCGTTTAGACGCGTATTGCAATATAGACAGCCAGACAAACAGACAAGCAACGTATATTGATGAACTAGGCTTTCTTGGTGCTTTGTGTCCATCTTTCTTTCAACTTTTAATTGTGGACCTGTCTGTGAACATTGTCTCATCAAACAGTATAAAACAAAAACAAAAGAATATTGTGTGGATTTATGAATTTCTTTTCTCGGATTTTCAAAATTTTACGAAAATTAAAAACTTTTGGCAAAAACTTTTTATTATTCTGAGCATCTATAAACCTTCCCCAAGGGTCAAGTGAATTGTCAGAAATAAGTTTGGAACCGATCGGATTACCCGTTCTGACGTATATTGGATACAACAATATACTCAGGAACCCCTTTACCGATTTGCCTCAAATTTATTGGGGAACTGTAGAACCACGGAAATGTTCTTAGGTTAAAAGTTCTTAGTCGAATAGGTTGACTCTTATAAAGAAAACTTTGTGTCCAGGCAGAGCTGGGTTCCCAATCTAGTAGTAAATAAAACCAATTGTTAAAATATTCCTAACCTGAATGAGCGTAGTTTCCGTTATATCCCAGGGAACTCCTCCCAGGAATATCTTGCTGGAGTAGGATGGTTGACGTCCTAACAAATTAATCAAATATGATCAGTCATCGCACTCGATAGCGCGTTTGAAAACAGAGGGCACAAAGAGATAAAATGTATTGGTGAGAGCAGTTATATAACATAATCATTCCGTGACAAATCTTTTGAGATAATAAACCAAGGTTTTAAAGACAACAAGTTAAATTCTGGTATATGCCTCAAAAAAAAACAAATTTTTTTGGATTACGTTATATCTTAAATATACCTGCAATTTGCTTTGGTGGAAGTTGGCCACTCCAAGTACAGTTAGCTTCATGCTGAGAAGCAGCACTTCTATACTGCTTAGCTGCTCTTTCAAGCGCCAGGGGGTCCCTGAAATATTTAGGTTACACTTCTGTACTACTTAGCTGCTCTTTCAAGCGCCAGGGGGTCCCTGAAATATTTAGGTTACACTTCTGTACTACTTAGCTGCTCTTTCAAGCTCCACGGGTCCCTGAAATATTTAGTTCTACACTTCTGTACTGCTTAGCTGCTCTTTCAAGCGCCAGGGGTCCCTGACATGTTTAGTTCTACACTACTGTACTGCTTAGCTGCTCTTTCAAGCGTCAGGGGGTCCCTCAAGTATTTAGTTCTACACTTATGTTCTGCTTTGCTGCTCTTTCATGCGTCAGGGGATCCCTGAAATATTTAGTTCTCCTTCAAGAGCCAGGGGGCCCCTGAAATATTTAGTTCTACACTTCTATACTGCTTAGCTCCTCCTTCAAGAGCCAGGGAGTCCCTTAAATATCTTGATTTTTTACTATACTTCTATACTGCTTAGCTGCCCTTTCAAGAGCTAGGGGGTCGCTGAAATATCTAATTTTTTTACAAGATTTTATACTGCTCGGCTGCTCTTTCAAGAGCCAAAGGGTCCCTAAAAAGTCAACTTTTATTTTAGACTTCTACACTTCTTCACTGCTTAGCTACTCTTTCCAGAGCCAGGAGGTCCCAGTAATGATTTAATTCTATGCAATATTTTCATACTGCTTAGCTACTAAGAGCCAGGGGGTCCCTTAAATAGTTTAATTCTCTTCTTCACTTCTCTACTGCTTAGCTGCTCTTTCCAGAGCCAAGGGGTCCCAGAAATAATTTAATTCTATGCAATATTTTCATACTGCTTAGCTAAGAGCCAGGGGGTCTCTAAAATAGTTTAATTCTCTTCTTCACTTCTCTACTGCTTAGCTACTAAGAGCCAGGGGGTCCCTAAAATAGTTTAATTCTATTCTTCACTTCTATACTGCTTAGCTACTAAGAGCCAGGGGGTCCCTAAAATAGTTTTATTCTATGCAATATTTTCATACTGCTTAGCTACTAAGAGCCAGGGGGTCCCTAAAATAGTTAAATTCTATTCTTCACTTCTCTACTGCTTAGCTACTAAGAGCCAGGGGGTCCCAGAAATAATTTAATTCTATTCTTCACTTTTCTACTGCTTAGCTACTAAGAGCCAGGGGGTCCCAGAAATAATTTAATTCTATTCTTCACTTCTCTACTGCTTAGCTACTAAGAGCCAGGGGGTCCCTAAAATAGTTAAATTCTCTTCTTCACTTTTCTACTGCTTAGCTACTCTTTCATGAGCTAGGTAGTGATCAATTCTAGACAGAACACAGAGCATCCTAGATATCCTTGATATTAGTAATCATTACTAGACAGAACACAGAGCATCCTAGATATCCTTGATATTAGTGATCAATTCTAGACAGAACACAGAGCATCCTAGATATNTGCTTAGCTACTAAGAGCCAGGGGGTCCCTAAAATAGTTTAATTCTATTCTTCACTTTTCTACTGCTTAGCTACTAAGAGCCAGGGGGTCCCTAAAATAGTTTAATTCTATTCTTCACTTTTCTACTGCTTAGCTACTAAGAGCCAGGGGGTCCCTAAAATAGTTTAATTCTCTTCTTCACTTCTATACTGCTTAGCTACTCTTTCATGAGCTAGGGTTCCTGACGTAGTTAAATTCTGTACTACACTTCTATACTGCTTAGCTACTCTTTCATGAGCTAGGGTTCCTGACGTAGTTAAATTCTGTACTACACTTCTATACTGCTAGCTGATCTTTCAGTATATTGAAATGCGCAGATGATCTTCCAACCTTGTCCTTTCATGATATTCCCTCGTGTCGAAGCTCGTTTCCCTGTCCTCCCTGTCGAAGAACGAGCTGTCGACATATCTGTTCCTGTGGCTCTGCTGTAAATCCTCAGTACCACCCTAATAATAGAACAGTCGTTGCAGCAATGTATTGTGTGATACTATAAAAATGAAGGGCCATATGAAAAAAAAACACAAAAAACCCCCAAAATTAAAACGATTGTACTCTTATGACTGGATGTCCATTATCATATTTAATATTAACAAAACATTTGTACATAAATATATTAAATCTCTGCAGCAAGAGAGTCTAGGTAGCTTAGAGCTCTTTTCATAAAGCCCTTCTCTGTAATCCTTAAGATGAATTCATTTGAAGTAAAAAGGTTCCAGATGGGAACTGATCGATTTGGATGGTAAATTAATACGGTTGACAAACGCGCAATTTAAGTACTTTATATAAAAAAAACTTAGATACATATAATAATGTTTCATAACTACCTTAGGGCTCCGTTAAACAACGGTTCACAAACATAGGGTTAAACAACTTAGGTCAAACAACATAGGGTCAAACAACATAGGGTCAAACAACATAGGGTCAAACGACAAACGGTCAAAATGCAAGTGCTGTGGCTAGGAAAGGCTTAACCCATTGCATAAAAATATGTATTATTTCAGGGTTAGGTTTGACAATTTCTGGGCCGACCCCTGCGGCTAGGACAGGCTAGAAGGCCAAGCCCTGCGGCTAGGACAGTGGCGTTTTTGACCGTTTGTCTCTTGACCCTGATTCGTTTTACCCTAGGTTGTTTGACCCTCATTCTTTATACTAGATCAAGAGCAAGTATGTAAACTTGTTTTTATCTGTTCTGTTTCACAGATAAGGAGCTTGGGAGAACCTCTTCTGTGAGAGAGTAGGATACGGCTGAGCAGAATTTATTAAAAATTGAAATTGAATTTCCTTCAATTTCAGAAATACTGAATGCTAATGACATTAATCCAAGGTTAGAAATATTTGTATTTTTTTTCAGTTAAGAAGAGAGCACTTTTAAGTAAGTTATGATCATTGACTATGCACCTGTATTCCTAGTGGTCTAGAAGTAGTAGGAGTAGCTGAAGATAGTAGAGCAGCGAGAAGATTTGGTTCCTTACAAGCTTGGGTAGATACTCCTACTTCTTGGTACATAGCAACCTGTCTCTCCTAATACATTTTAGTATAATCCTACTTCTTGGTACATAGCAACCTGTCTCTCCTGATACATTATAAAATAATCCTACTTCTTGGTACATAGCAACCTGTCTCTCCTTTTACATTATAATATAATCCTATTTCTTGGTACATGGCAACCTGTCTCTCCTAATACATTATAATATAATCCTACTTCTTGGTACAAAGCAACCTGTCTCTCCTAATACATTATAATATAATCCTACTTCTTGGTACATAACAACCTGTCTCTCCTAATACATTATAATATAATCCTACTTTTTGGTACATAGCAACCTGTCTCTCCTAATACATTATAATATAATCCTACTTTTTGGTACATAGCAACCTGTCTCTCCTAATACATTATAATATAATTTTTCTTCTTGGTACATAATAACCTGTCTCTCCTGATACATAATGCCTTCGCTCATATAAGTACATAGCAACCAGTCTCTCCTTGTACATAAAAATATACTTTATCCTCCTGGTCTTTCCTAGTACATAATATACTCCGAGGTCTCAGAAAACATAGCTAGCGGTCCATTCTAGTACACAACAATATACTCCCACCTCCTGGTACATAGCTACCTGTCTTTACTTGTATACTTCTTTGTACATAGCAATCTGTCTCTCCTAATACATAATATTAAACTCCTACTTCTTGGTACATAGCTACCTGTCTCTCCTAGTACATTATATACTCGTTGCTCCTAGTACATAGCTACCTGTTTTTGCCAGTACATAATAATATACTCCAAGCTCCTAATACATAGCTACCCGTCTTTCTTATTACTTAAATACTCCTACTTCTTCTTGGTACAAAGCAACCTGTCTCTCTCAATACATGATAATATACTTATTATTACACCCCTAATTCTTGGAACATCGTAACAAAATGGTATATACCCCTACCTCCTAAAACATGGTGAAAGTCTCTCCTAATAAAACTGGGCTCCTTCTTAAACTGTATTTGGATTGAAGGGTGACTGTTATATCTATATAATTACATAGAAGAAACCTGTTTCTCTCAAGTACATAATAATATACTCCCACCTCCAAGTACATAGCTACCAATCTCACCTCCGAACATAATAATATACTCCCACCTCCAGGTACATAGCTACCAATCTCTCCTCCAAACATAATAATATACTCTCGCCTCCTAATGCATAGCTTTCTGTACCTCCTGGTAAAAAGCTTCAGGGTTAACCAATACGACTATGGAAATCAGTTGATTCTTTCATTTTTTTGACACTTTTACATGTATGTCACTTGTGACGTTTTGTATTAACAGAAAGTGAAGTTAAACCTTAAGCTAATTATAAATGACTAGTCCTAGGCCGTCACTACACTACAGTCTCTTTCTTAGCGGGTAACCTTTCAACTTTTTTCTTGCATAATAATTCTATTTTCTTTAATATACAGAACCCTGCATCTAATTCTACACTTCGCAAGCATCTTACTTTAAGATCCTGTAAGTTCTGGACAGCTTGTGCAACAGCAAGATCAGCTTCAACGAGGCTGGCCAAGGTTGGCCTCGCCTCTCCAGGGGAGAATGATCTCTCCTCTAGCCTCGAACCTGAGGATAAAGAATCCTCGCATTCAGCCCGGCGAAGGTCAGACAAAGAACTGTACTCGGCTGTTCCTAATTTAGAAGGTATAAACCAGTGCAAGAACCACATCATTTTCAAGGATCCGGATTCAAGCAAAATATCTTTTGCTTTCAAGAACAAAATCAGTAAATTTAAAAGTTTTTTTTTAACAGTATTAAGTTCTGGTATAAAAATGGGTGGAAAAAAAATAATTTTAGCATTCTTCTTTCTTAAAACTTTAAAAATTGTTCGCCAATGACCTGGATCAGGAACCATTTTTTATCTGGCTGATCCAGAATCCAAATCCGGATCCGCATCAAAGTGAAATGGATCCTATGCTTGGGATAAACTTTAATTTGTCCCATTTTTAAAGCATATTCATTTTCTTGCTATTGCCTAAATTCCAACGTTTAATTTGAAATCATCATTATTCCAACTGGGAGATCGATTTTAACAGAATTTTTGAAATCTCAAAAGAACAAATTCAAGATATTTCTGATCAAAATTGATTTTTAAAAATCAAATTTTATTTATGAAGTTTGATATTTTTGGATGAGCATTGGGCATTCTTTTTGTAAAATATCCAATATGTAAACTAGATTGGGTTAACAGAGCTGAAAACTTTAGAATGGGATATCCTTAATCCTGATCGGATAATTAATCTGGAGATTAAAAATGAGTGGAGAACAAGCAATATTTAATCTCCAGATTAAGAAAAAGAGTGGATTAAGCCTTAATCCCGATATCCACCATTCTAAAGTTTTCAGCTCAGGTGAAATTATCAAAATCGAAGGACTTAATAACTCAAATATTCTGTGCTTTTTTAGATTATTCGTTGAAAAAATCTCAGCCTTATTTCAATATGTTTCACAAAGCTAGTTTCTAGAAAAATCAAATTCAACATAATTAGTTATTTTTAGCACAATTTTTTCGCCTCCAAACTTATTTCAAAGTTTTATTATCGACAAGTTTACTTATAACATTTTAAAAATGTGAATAACAGATTAGATTATTATTTTAGATATGTTTTTCAAAATGTTAAGAAAATTTGTCGAGAATAAAAATAAGTTTTTACCAGAAAGGAAACTACCGTATCCAGCATCACTCTCAGGGGAGTCACGACCCATCAGCAGCGCCTAGATAAGGTTGGTCAAAATGTCGTCTTTCGAAACAGTTAATCGATTTCGTGATTTTTATAGTATTTTTATCTCAATATTAAAGGGGCGTAAACAAAAGGGTGATTCATCTTCACAAACATTTTATATTTTTAATTTTATCTGTATTTATTTTTCCATTCTTACAAATACTGAGCTAGCACAAAAATGCAATAAAGTTGATTTAGGTAAATCTTGAAAATTTGACGTAAACCTAAGAAGAAAATCTAAAACTTAATTCTAATAACATTCTAAATAACTACAAAATTCAGAAACAATAATTCGTAACCCTCAACTGGAGCTTATGTTTATTTACGGCCGGGTACATAGTCCTATAACCTGGTTAAATCTTTATTATCTTTGAAAACTAGTTAATTTAGAAATTAAATTCCATCTTAATCCATGTAAATAAAAATACATTGAAAATAGTGTTTTATAACTGCGTTCAATTCAAGTTCTGATTCAGAATGTCGTCCTAAACCCCAATGTTGTTAAAGTTTGCTTAATTTTTAACCTTAATAGTGCAAAAACTATCAGAAAACTTTAAAAATATGTTGATTAGAAACTTGATCTTTGGTTTCTGCATTCAATCGAGTATATTGATGGTTTAAAGCACAGAAATAACCCAATTTTGGTCTACAAGGAACCCGGTCAGTGAAAGAAAACGGGCTACACAAATTCCGTACAATCATCTCTGAAGTCTCATCCTTTATGAGTAACCCTAGATATAAAGAAATATCAAACTGATACAAAGAAGTATCAAAATGATATAAAGAAGTATCAAATGATATAAAGAAGTATCAAAATATTGAAGCATAATTAAAAAAAAAAAATTCGATTAAAGTTTCACAAATCTAATTCTGGCGAGTACCTGCTCTAAAGTAGGACTTCCTGATTCACTGGCGTGTGAACGACCTCTGATTGGGCTCCCTAAATAATAATTATCATATTTTGTGTTCTATAAATAAGGATAAGCCATTTTTTCTTCAAAAAGTATTTCCGAAATTAAAGTTAAAATATTGACCGAAAATTTCAAGTTTCTTCTTTCGCTTCATGACATTTTCCTTAAGATTATTTACAACTAGGATATTTCTTTTGTTAGATCAAAGGATTAAACCGTTTAAATGTTATCCCCAAACAAATATAATCGTGTAATTTTTATATTCGGATGGCCCCTGATTCTTTATCACCCCAAAAATGATTTGAGAAATCAAAGAGGTTTTTTTAATAACGTCCCTGTCATGCTACCTGGTATGTTAGATATCCCCTGTTGAAGGGCTGCTGCGCCCCTGAGGAACCCCTCCCTGACTTCAGGGGTGCTAAAACTAACACTCCTGGGACGGTTGATTCTGCTCACCGCAGCGAACTTGTTCTGAACAAATATACTCATCTTAACAGCTTAAAAACTGTGTTCTTACAATCTTTCGTTGATAAAATTTGTCCCAATAATACTAAAAATAAACAAATCCACAAATCTAGCAAAATTTTATCCATAAAAAGTTCAAATTTACACACTTTTAGCTAATTCAAGATTTAAGCGTTTCAAACTTCTTTCTTCCAGATTGTAAAAATAACAAATTTATATTCAAACGCGAGTCAGAGCTCAAAATTTGGGTAGAGCAAGTGAAATGACAAAATTCGTCATCACATATTTTTTAAAGATTTATTTATTACTTAAATTTGGCGCCTTTTACACATCATAAATATATGTACTATAACCTTTCATCGAACGGTTTCTCCTTGATATCTTAACTGCCTCTTAATTTTTAAGGCTATGCTATGCTATATTTACAACGTAAACTTTGAAATCTTTTACTAACACTACTGTGAGGGATTCAACATTGTTCTGCTGAAAAGTGTTTCAACGTTCTGACAACTTTTAAGAAATCAAAATATTCTTAATTCCAAAAAACAAATATTCATAAGAGAAAAAATGTGATTTTTTTCCTAATAATCTTGATAGGGCACCGTTGTAAATCGGACACGCTGCTCTAAAAAAGACGAGTCGTTAAAAATAACGGTTCTAGTCCTTTATCTAACCCAAGAAGATCAGGATTCAGGATATTAGTTACCTTTAGGGCGCTACTGAGAGGAGTAGATTCATTTCCAGGATGTATCCCTAGCAAGGCCTAGAAACAATAGAACATGGTTTAACCCTCAAGGATTTTCATATGGATTAATGAATATAGGGGGCTTGAGAGTTGAGCAGTTAAACAAAAATTACACAAAATTTACTTTAAAATTAGATAACATTAGGGTAGTGTTAAAACTTCATTTTGATTATTAAAAATTGGTAATTTTAACGAACAAAAGCAAGGAGAGTAAGTACGATGCCACTTATGTGGCCATTTTCTTAGACGTTATACGATAGGTTGAACAATATTCTCACATTGGTTACGCTTTACCAGAGCAGTGTAGATAGATAGATACGACCTATAGTTGTACCTATGGTAACATGACTAAGAAATTGGTCAATGGTTTCGTTAAAATCTTCAAATGAATGTTTAGCGTTTGATAAATCAGATTTTTTTAACAGTTGCGGTGGCGATCTGGATCACATCTTGCTTTGCTTTGCTTTTATATTCCTCTCTTCATTTGCCTTCTAAAACTTGACGGCTAAACCGATCGAGCGCAGCATTTTTGAGGCAACTCACATGACCTGTGGGCTGTAAAAATTGAAAAGTTTAGCTCAGAATAAATGTAAAAATTCATTACTTTTAAAAATGCACTAACTAAAACTTTAAAAAAAAAAAGAATTTTCAAACTTCAAAAATTTCAAACTTTCAAAAAACTTTAACTCCAAATTTCTTTCCCAAAATCGTTTATTTTATAGTAATTTATATCTCGAAATTCATTCATTTACCCAAACAATATGTTTTATCCATCCGAAAATTCGATTTAACCCAAATACTGGAAATAACTTAGTTAATTCCGGAATTTAACTAATAGTTGCGGAAGTGGCCGCTGTTGCCCGTAGAATTTTAGCCAATTTGGTCCAGCCGTTTGGCCAGCAATCAATTAACATATATATATATATATGAGCGAAGAGCTTTGTTTATAAATAGAACCACAAACCAAAGTAACCATTGAAATTGTTTATACCTGTATATAGTTAATAGCCGTGTTATCAGAAATTCTTCTCTGATGCTCTGCGTCTCCGGTAGAATCTTCATCCTTTAACAAACATTCAATTTAATTTACACAATAAAAATTGGTACAAATGAGGCAAAATTTTGGTAGGGATATTGAGTATTGACGCGTTCATGAATTACTTTTTCATATCAACCCCCCCCCCCCCTAAAACATCCATAAATTTGATGAGCGATTATTATTAAGATGTAAAAATGAAAAAAGGCCTACTTTCATATTTGGGAAATTGCACATTTGGGAAATTGCACATTTGGGAAAATATCTTTGGGAAGTTGCCGCTTGGGAAAAGGCATTTTGGAAAGTACCCAACATCAAAAAAGAAGACCCTACCTGTTTTACTAATAAAGCTGAGAGATCTGCTTTCTCGGAACCAGACAACAAGGCATTGATAGTTTCATACAAATCTCTAAAAACAAGTTGTTAGAGGACACTTGTCCCTTTACAGATACAAGTAATTTGAGGACCTACTCAATAAATTTAAGTGTGTGAAATTTACTAAACAATGTTATAGAAGCAAAAAAGTATTCTACTAGGAATACCAGACATGTTTGATAAAGTGTATTTTCACAAATATTAAACATGCCCATTTTAATATTCATTACTTCTGCAAGTTTATTTTGAACTCAGGTTTTAAGCCAGTTCCATGGATTGGACACCAGTCATTTTAAGATTTTAATTTTGGTAATTTCCTNCCTCCTATCAATTATGTAAATTAATCTCATATGTATCACATGGAAATTGGTCATGTGGCCGCAGCGCCCGAACCCCTAGCATGTCCGTGCCGCGGCCATCTTCAATTTATAAATATTGTAGAGACATGCCAGATTCTGTAAAATGAATGCTGAAGGCTCACCCCTACTAATCGAGGGGTCCAGTGGGATTTAATTAATGTCGTTTAGGGTCCGTCCTAATATACAATTTATCTTTCCATTTTGTCTACGACCTTTAATTTTAGGTTACTTTGTATTTCTTAAGGCTAGGCTAGGTTATGACAATTTCTAGGCCGAGTGCTGCGTCTACGACAGGCCAGGGGGTTGAGCGCTGTGGCTAGGGGGGTTAAGCGCTGCGGCTAGGACAGGCTAAGGGACCAAGCGACGCGGCCAGGGAAGTCTAGGGGGACAGGCGTTTCGGTCACATGACGAATATCCATGTGTTGCATGTAAAGCTAATGTACAAAATTGATTGGAAGGAGGGACCCGNATACCCCACAAGTAGATATTTCTTACATTTCTTCCATTAGAGAACTGAATTAAAACCGATTAATGTTGGTTCCCCTTGAATTTCGGAGCAGTTTTGATTTGAGACCAATTATAATTAAAGATACTTACAAACCCCAGCATAGAAATATCAACCCCCCTCCCCCAAAAAATGGACATAATTCGACAGTGAACTCAAATTTCAGGGTGTTCTTAGGAGAAAAAATATTAAATTAAATAATTCTCCATCTCTACCTGTTCGCTGAACTTCTTGTCTGCATCCGGCCTAATTCATTCAGAGGCATTTTAGTCTACAAAAACGGAAAAAAACGTACTTGTTAACATATATTTCAGTCACACTTAATAAACCCCTTCCCCTCACCAATTTTCCTTGGAATGCACGAAATTCTGTTGGGAAGGCTAACCGGTTTTGTGGTAATGTGTACTCTCTGTTAAGTTGCGTACAAGTGTACGCAACTTAATGAGAGAGTACAAATATGAAACTCACAGGGGCATTACAGAAACTATAGAGGGGAGGGAGGATCGATGCTCATTTTTAATCCTCAATGGGATTTAATGTCCCTCCAATAACATAAACTTTGTATATATTCAAAATAAAATTCTTATACCTTAATAATCGCAATAAATAACTTTTTAAATACCGCCATGATCATAAAAATTGTCTAAAAAGTTTTGTGAAGTAAAGTTATTAAATTTGGTTAGTTAGAATTTCAAACCATCATTTGTGTGCGCAGTGACTTTTACTAGTTAGTCTATTTCTACAATATCTGTATTTAGCTCAAAAAATAAAAACTGGACCTTCTAATCAAAAAAAGATTTTGATAAATGACTGTCCTAAGATCAGATTTAATGAATAGCAGAAGTGGTTAAACTATGTATGGCTATTGAAGATACATTCTTTTTAAGTGCACTCTCAGCAACACTAATTAAACTATATTTAAACTAAGTTTTCCAAACAAAAGTCAACTTACTAAAGTTAAAACTTTTAAACCAAACTAACATTCCCATGGTTCGTCCGAGCTCCCCAAAAACTTTAGGCAAATCGTGCAAGGGGTACACAAGTTTTGATCAGACATACAAACAGAGATAACTAGTATGTATATATGTATAGATAAGAAGAAATTTTCGTTGTGNATTTACGATTATACATTCTCCATTTACGATTATAAATTCTCCATTTACGATTATAAATTCTCCATTTACGATTATGACTTCTCCATTTACGATTATAAATTCTCCATTTACGATTATAAATTCTCCATTTACGATTATACCTTCTCCATTTACGATTATAAATTCTCCATTTACGATTATAAATTCTCCATTTACGATTATATTTTCTCCATATACGATTATACATTCTTCATTTACGATTATAAATTCTCTATTTACGATTATACATTCGATCCATTTACGATTATAAATTCTCCATTTACGATTATACATTCGATCCATTTACGATTATAAATTCTCCATTTACGATTATACATTCTTCATTTACGATTATACATTACCCATTTACGATTATACATTCTCCATTTACGATTTTAAATTCTCCATTTACGGTTATACATTCTTTATATTTACGTTTATAAATTCTCCATTCACGATTATAAATTCTCCATTTACGATTATAAATTCTCTATTTACGATTATACATTCTCCATTTACGATTATACATTCTCCATTTACGATTATAAATTCTCCATTTACGATTATACCTTCTCCATTTACGATTATAAATTCTACATTTACGATTATAAATTCTCCATTTACGATTATATTTTCTCCATATACGATTATACATTCTTCATTTACGATTATAAATTCTCCAATTACGATTATACATTCGATCCATTTACGATTATACATTCTCCTTTTACGATTATACATTCTCTATTTACGATTATAAAATCTCCATTTATGGTTATACATTCTTTATATTTACGTTTATAAATTCTCCGTTTACGATTATAAATTCTCCATTTACGATAATAAGTTCTACATTTACGATTAAACATTCTCCATTTCCGATTAAACATTCTCCATTTACGATTATACATTCTTTATTTAATATTCTACATTCTTTATTTACGATTATACATTATCCATTCACGATTATGCATTCTCCATTTACGATTATACATTCTCCATTTACGATTTCAAATTCTCCATTTACGATTATAAATTATCCATCCTTATAAATCTATTTTGAATTTTGGAGAAACGAGGGGGGGGGATTAAGGGCCCCTTTGTATGCCCCTGATGGTTTGTATAGGTTATATCACCCTTATTATCCTCTTCCGTATCTATTTATCTAAACCAGAAGGAGGTGACGCAACTTCCGACATTATTTTGCGTCATTAGAGATTATACGCATGATCAAAGAAAATATAAATTTCTCTGATCTATAGGCGAACGTAAAAGAGGAGAGGGGAGCGACGGGTAGAAAACAAAAATACATTTTATATGAATTATGAAAGTAGCCGTGCTTGAAAAATATTATCAGTGGAAAAAATTGCAGGAAACTTCAACTTGCTAAAATTAGAAAAATAATTTTGATGTATTATGATGTTTTAAATGTAGGCTTCTGTTTTTTTCTGCTTTTTCCGTTAAATTATAAAGAATTTTATTAATTTTGAGGTTTTTGAAAGTTTGTTTAAATCCCCCCCCCCCCCNAAGGCAATGAAAGTTAATTGTTGTAGCGTATTCTCTGCGTACATATTGCAACCAGTGTCCGAATTTAATGAATTTAAGCCGCGTCTTAAATCAACCAAAAACCGGTTTCAATTTAGCGCCGGCTTAAATCTTGAAACAGTGAATACAATTTTAAGTGAAACCAACCATATTTGAGTATCAGCTTAAATTTAAGCCGGCGCTCAAATTCTTTAAATTCGGTCTCCGATCTCTTAGGCGGTGTTTGTAAACAATAATAGATGCATAGTGGTCTTCAACTTCTAAGTATCCGAGGAGGATAAAAGAATTTAATTTTGATAATTTTGAAAAATCACAAAATACTTTCCTATAGACAAGGATATTTCATTGATTTTTATGTGATCACATATTTATGTAAATTAGTGTTATGTACACATAATCATGCGTGTTATTAAATCCATTGAATATTTATTGTTTATTTGTTCCGGTTTCCTAGATTTCCTTTTACTGTTTACTGTTTACTGTTTACAAACAACAACATTCATATAATGTATGTGGACCATAGAGTAGATGTATTCACAGAGTCATCGAGTATGTCTTGGTGTTTGTAGACCACAGAGTAGTATATTTACAGAGTCAAAGAGTGTGTCAGGTCGAGCCTGTAGACCACAGAGTTATAGATATTTTTTACAGAGTCATAGAGTTTGTCTGATTGTCTGTAGACCACAGAAAATTCACAGAATCATCAAATATTTCTATAGGAGTTTGTTTAAGTGTATCTGAAAAAGTAGCAAAAATAACTAAAATTAAGTGTTCCTTTTTGGTACTTATTTAATGGTACCCTTACAGAAAGAGGCCTTAAGGACGACAGTATAGATTAGTTCCACATTTATTGAAAATATATTTCGGTCTGGGTTGACCCTCGTCAGTTCTTGAGATTGTTTCTTCACAAAGATTAAAAACAAACAAAATTATTCATTTTTGATAATTTATTAATGCTTTACTATTATCACAATAACTGTAAAATATTAAAGATACACTACAAATAGAATCATAATTACAAATTAGTTCTGTGTGAAAAATTTGAAAGTTCATTGAACAAATTAAGATTTAATTTGATAAAAATAATCGTTTTTATCCCATGAAGTCATATGAAGTTATGATAACATTTAAGAATCTAAATACATAACATTAATTAAAGCAATTTAAATACATGAATATGGTATTTATTAAACCAAAGTTAACCGTTACAAATATACCTATATAATGGGGGGGGGGGTAATTTACTCAGTTTTTAAAGGGAGTGTTCACGAAAAATAAAAGGGGGTGTAGGTTACCAAATTGAATTCATAATCAAATGGCTTCAATCGTTTTTTTCGTCATCAAGAACTAGGAGAACAAGAGTTAGGAGAACCAGGAAAATCAGGAGAACCATGAAAACCAGGAGAACCAGGAGAACCAGGAGAACAAGGATTATCAGGAGAATCAGGAGAAACAGGAGAAACAGGAGAAACATGAGAAACAGGAGATTCAGGAGAACCAGGAAAGTCAGTAGAATCAGGAGAAACAGGAGAATAAGCAGAAACAAGAGAAACAGGAGGAACAGAAGAATTAGGAGAACCAGGAGAGTCAGTAGAATCAGGAGAAACAGGATAATCAGGAGAATCAGGAGAAACAGGAGAACCAGGAGAATAGGAGAACCAGGCAAACCAAGATAATCAGGAGAATCAGGACAATTGAGAGCCAGAGAACTAAGAGAACCAGGAAAAACAGGAGAAACAGGAGAAACAGGAGAACCAGGAGAACCAGGTTAACCAGGAGAACCAGGTTAACCAGGAGAACCAGGTTAACCAGGAGAACCAGGAGAAACAGGAGACCCAGAAGGACTAGGAGTACAAGGAGGATCTGGAAAACCAGGATAAACCAGGAAAACCAAGAGAACAAAGAGAACCAGGAGAATCAGGAGAACCAGGAGAACCAAGAGAAACAGGAGAACGAGGAGAAACAATAGGACAATTTTTGTAGACCCCTTCGACTTCTTCTTTCCAATTTTCCCCACCTCCCCTTTACTTTTCCCCATATTTTACAACATGTTCCCTGTTCTTCCTCCCCCCCCCCTCACACACACTCGATCCCTTCATTATTACTCCTTTAAACCAGGAAGTGGAGATCGGTATTTATCTGAGCTTACTCAAGGATGTGATAACACAATAGTTTTTCTTTTTTTCTGATCAATGGAACCAACGGAACGAAATGGAACAAATTGTTTAATTCAATTGGCAACAAGCGTAGCTTCATTTATCATTACTTAAAGAAGAAAACTAATGAAGAATGAATGATAGATAAAATACGGCTAGCATTGTAAACCAAGCAAAACAAAAAGTTCACCTTTTTTAAAAAGATTTGATGCCTCGATGCTTAAGATGCTATAAAAATGTAAAGCCTTACATTTATTCCTTTATATTAGGTGAATGTACGGATGTATGTATAGGTGTATGTATGTATGTATGAAAGGATGAATTAATGAATGGTTTAATGAAATAGATAAATGAAATAATGAATTGTTTAAGGGAATAAATAAACGGATTAATGAATGATTTCAGTGAATAAATAAATGAATTCATGAATAGGTTCAGTGTCCGAATAAATGAATTAATGAATGGTTTCAATGAATTAATAAATGAATT